TATATATTATTTTAATCAAATATAATTATATATATATTTTTCAAATTTATTAATTTTTAAAAAAGTTGAATTAAAAACAAAAAATTAAAAATAAAATCAAATTTAAAAAAACATTGTATTATATAAAAATAAAATCAACATTGGTCGTAAATTAGTCTTTAATTTACAACCAATGAACAACTACTGTCGATGTTACTTAGTTGTAACATTACGACTATTTAACTACAAGGTTTACGTTTGCTTTACGACTAATTATATTACGACCACGTTACGACTAATTATGTCACCTCTACATTACGACCAATATGTTAGTCGTAATATTACGACTAGGTTTCGACTACAGGTCGTGGTCGTAATATTACGTATACAGGTCGTGGTTGTAATATTACGAATATGTTACCACTAATTGTGCATTACGACTAGCGAATAACGACCAATTGGTTTTCGATATTAATTGGTCGTAAAAGGCATATTACGACCAATTAACAACGAATTGCGTAGTCGTTAGACATCTGTTTTCTTGTAGTGATTGTGTGTAGATATAAATTATTAGGTATGTGATTTTGACTGTGATGACACATAAGTGAAGGGGTTTTTATTGATCAATTCATAACTACTCCTCTTACTACATGACGTTTCCTAGCCAACATTTCGATCCAGCTCTACCCAAACTTTTCTGGTTTACCCCAACATTTCCACTTGTCCGACTGTTGCTGAGCAGTTTTTGGATATCAAACGGACCTCTCCAGAAGGTAATTTTAATGTGGCCGATTTCCCCTCTTTTGCAATCAGTTTCGCTACAGCACCCGTTGCTCTAGCTAATTGTCCACCCTTTCCAAGTGTGATTTATATATTATGTATGGCCGTGCCTAAGGGCATATCGATTGAAGTAAATTCTTCTTTTTGATCAATAAAAACCCCTTCCCAAACTGTACAAGCTTCTTCCAAACCTCCTTCAATTCATAACTACTCCTCTTACTATAGGATGTTTACCTAGACAACATTTCGATCCGGCTCTACCCAAACATTTCTGGTTTACCCCAACATTTCCCACTTTTCTGGTTTTCGATATTAATTGGTCGTAAAAAGCATATTACGACCAATTAACAACCAATTGCGTAGTCGTTAAACATCTGTTTTCTTGTAGTGATTGTGTGTAGATATAAATTATTAGGTATGTGATTTTGACTGTGATGACACATAAGTGACTCAAACAAGCAAACATTAGAACAATTCCAAGAAATGAATATATTCCTGGTCAACGTCTTCGACTGATATCATCTATAAAATGCTTACACTTCCTAAATGTTAAGTCCACAAGGACATTACATCTTTCTCTCTTTCTTACTGTCTTCTTATTGAAAAATTGGAACACTCGTTTGTTGAGATAAGCTTGAAAATGATAGATCAAGTCTAAAAGATTTGGAGTACAAGCTAAAAGAGATTCTAGACTATCCGAGATTCAAGATAAAGATGGTGAGTTGTTTTAGGAGTTATCTACAAACAGTTACAAGGGTCCTTATCTCTAAGACTAGGTTTAATGTTTAGCTTGTATATATATGTCCAACGAGTTATGTTAAGGATGTATGAGTTTGTGAGTACTTGAGGTTTTTTGAGTGAGTTTTACCTTGAGGCAATATAAGAGAGTTATTCTTTACTTACGTTCTCATATACTGCAATTGTGTTCTAACTGTTTCTCAATATTTGGTATCAGAGCTAGAACTGAGAAACAATGGTGGATCTTACGGTTGCTACGACGAAACCAAAAGAGACAGGATCATCTTCTATAAAGTGCCCTATATTCAACACCACAAATTACACTGTATGGGAAATTAAGATGAAGATCCTACTAAAGGTACACAAGGCGTGGGAGGTCATTGAGATAGAAGAAACATATGAAGAAATGAACAACATGGCCATGGCCTTACTGGTACAATCCATATCCGAGTCGCTTGTTCTGCAAGTAGGGGAGTTGGACACGGCGAAAAAGGTTTGGGACGCTATCAAGACAAGACATATGGGTGCTGATAGGGTCAAGGAAGCTCGCCTACAAACTCTGATGGCAGAGTTTGATCGCTTGAAAATGAAAGACAACAAGACTATTGATAAGTTTCTTGGAAGAATCTCAGAGATATCTTCAAAATCTACTACGCTTGGAGAAGAAATAGAGGCATCAAAACTTGTCAAGAAATTCTTGAAGAGTCTTCCCCACAAGAAATACATACACAACGTAGCTGCTTTGGAGCAAGTTATGGACCTCAAAACAACTAGTTTCGAAGATATCATTGGTCGTTTGAAAGCCTACGAAGAGCGGGTAACAGAAGAAGATACCGGGGAAGAACAGAGCAAACTAATGTATGCAGACACGGATCAACAGTGTGCACGAAGTGCTAATGGGAACAGCAGAAGCCGAGGTCGTGGTGGAAGGTACTATAACAGAGGAAGAGGTCGTGGACGATCTGGTGTTGTGAGAGATGCAGCAGGGGTTACATGCTACCGGAGTGGCAAGGTAGGAAATTATGCGAGTTATTGTCCTGATCGTCTACTCAAGTTGGTCCAAGAAACACAAGAACCTATTGAAGAAGAAAAAACACACGAAGCTGATGAGTTGATGCTGAATGAAGTAGTGTTTCTTAATGAGGAGAATGTGAAACTCGATAGATTTGAGTCAAGTGCAGAGACACTACAAGAAAACAAAGCATTTACTAGGAAATTTTACTAGGAAAATTCTTCCTCGTAAAGTTACTAAGCATTTACTAGGATCTTACGAGGAAAGCAAATTTCCTCGTAAGCTCCTCGAAAACTTACGAGGAAATACTTTCCTCGTAAGACCTTAGTAAATTTACGAGGAGCTTACGAGGAAAAAGTACTTTTCCTCGT